TATTTCCGTCGGAAAAAACAGAAATTCCGACGGATTATTATTCCGTAGGAAATTTCCGACGGAAAATAAATCCGTAGGAAAATATAAGCTTTCCGACGGAATATTTCCGTCGGAACATTAAACTTCCAACGGAAATAAAATCCGTCGGAACATTAAACTTCCTACAGAAATAAAATCCGTAGGAAATATTCCGTCGGAACATTTAATTTCCTACGGAATATTCCGTCGGAACATTTAATTTCCGACGGAATTTATACTTATTCCGACGGATTTTGGCCTTTAATAAAAAAAAAAAAAAAAAAAAAAAAAAAAAAAAAAAAAAAACCTAATCCCCCTCCCCTTTCATTTCTCTTTTCTCTCTCCTCTCTTCCACTTCTTTTCCCTTTCTCTCTCCTCTTTCCTCTTCTCTTCCTCTTCCTCTTCTCTTCCTCTTCCTCTTTGATCTCCTCTCCTCCTTCATTTTCTTTCTCTCTCTTGTCCTCTTCTCTTCTACAACAACAACAACAATCAACGGCCGGCCATTCAGCCATCGTCAACAACAACAATCAACATCAACGGTCGGCCGCACATACCGTCAACAACAACAATCAACATCAACGGTCGGTCGTACGTCACCGTCAACAACAACAATCAACATCAACCGCAACAACCATCATCGCCAGCCACGTGTTTCAAGGTTTTTGTTTTTGTACATCTTTTAATTTAGGTTTGAGTGTAAATGTAGTTAATTTTGTATGTAATTTTAATTGTGTAATTATATAATTCTTTTGATTTCATTGTTTAATTTTTGGTTTTTTGAATTTTCGGTATTTTTTAATTATATTGTGTTAATATAATTTTGTTTCGGTAATTTTCGTATGTTTGAGGTTAATTTTCGGTTTTGTGGGATTAAATTTTTTATTTTTTTTTGCGTTTATTTGGGTGAATTCGGTTTTTTTTGGATTTTTTAGGTTAATTCGGTTTTTTTTTTGCGTTTTTTAAAGGTGGTGGTGTGGTGTGGTGGTGTCAGTGGTGGTGGGGTGGGGGTGGTGGGTTACAGGGTGGCGGTGGGGTTAGGGGTAGGTGGATGTGGGTTGTGGGCAGTGGGTAGGGGTAGGTGGGGCTGTTTTTTAGGGTGTGGGTGGTGTGGGGTGGGAAAATGGGTTGGACGTGGTGGTGGTGGGTGGTGTGGGCTGGTGGCAGGGGTAGGTCTGGGTGGGATTTTTTTTTTTTGTTTTTTTTATTGACTTTTCTGACGGAAATTTTTGTCGGAATATCTCTAACTCCGACGGAAATTTCCGTCGGAAAACTGCGACGGAATTTCAATAAAAGTAAAAAAAAAAAGCGCCGACAGAAATAAATCCGTCAGAAGTTCCATCGGAATGGACCTTTCCGACGGAAATTCCCTCGGAATATAGCCAAATTCCTACAAAATGTAATGCGACGGTGCCTTCCGACGGAATTCCGTCGAAAATCGTCATTTCCGACGGAATTTCAGGGTATTCCGAGGAATTATTTCCGTCGTTGATTAGCAGTTTTCTAGTAGTGGCTTGGTATCAACGATTTGTAGATTTTGTCTCATCCATTGGTTTTGTTAATAGCAAATGTGACAACTCTCTTTTCATTTACCGCCGTGATTCTTACATTGCTTACATTTTATTGTATGTGGATGATATTATTTTGACTGCCTCTTCAGATACTCTTCGGCGATCTATTATGTCCAATCTCAGCTCGGAATTTGCTATGAAGGATCTTGGTCCTTTAAGCTATTTTTTAGGTGTTGCTGTTTCCAGGGACACAAATGGTCTTTTTCTGTCACAAAGAAAGTATGCCGAAGAAATTTTAGATCGGGCGGGCATGTCAAACTACAAACCATGTACTACTCTTGTTGATACAAAAGGCAAACTCAGGTTGACTGACGGACCTTCTTATGATGCCCCTTCTAAATATCGTCAACTAGTAGGTGCTCTTCAATACTTGACTTTCACACGACCTGATATTTCTAATGCTGTTGAACAGGTTTGTTTACTTATGCATGATTAGAAAGTCAAGCACATGGACACTTTAAAGCGTATTCTACGATATGTACGAGGTAAAATTGATTTTGGTACACTACTAGAAAACAGGTCATTTCTAACGGAAAAATTTCGTCGGAATCATCCTGAATTCCGTTGAAAAACCCGTTTCTGACGAAATTTCCGTCGGAACTAGTTGTCGAAAAACCTTTTGTAGGAAAAACAACCTTTTCCGACAGGATTCCGTCGAAATTGTTCCGTCGGAATAAGAATTCCGGCACCGAAAAAGTCCGTCGGATACTGTTCCGCCAGAAAATTCCTATGGAATTTCCGTCGGAAAAGTCAAAAAAAAAAAAAACAGCCCCTACCACCACCCAGATCCACCAACACTGCACCTGTTGCCACCATCAAAATTCACCCAACACCGCTATTCACCCACCACCACCGCCTAAATTCACTCCATCACTATCAAAACCCCCCACCACCACCCAGATCCACCACCAAAACCCAAAACCAATAACCAAAACTGCCCCAACCAAACCCCCACCCACACCAAACCGAAACCACCCCAACCATTAACTTACACCGGCCCCCACCCCACCACCACCGACACCACTATACACCACCACCATTCCAAAAATTAAACCTACAAACCGAAATTAACCCAAAAAAAAGGAAAAGCAACCCCAAAAAAACGAAAAGCCCCAAAAAACCGAAAATTAACCCCAAAACTACGAAAATTAACACAACATAATAAAAAAATACCACACAAAACAATCAAAACCAGTAGATCTATATATTAATCAGAATTTCATTAAAAAAAATTTTAAAAAACTATAATTAACCAACGAAAATAAAAAGAAATATATAAATATACAATTGTCTAATAAAATTTATAAACTAACATTACAATTACATACAAAATTAACTAGATCTACACTCTAAATTACAAGATCTACAAAACAAAAACCTTGAGACTGGGTGGTTCGCGATGGTGGTTGTTGGCTCTATTGTTGTTGCGTCGTTGTTGTTGCGGTTGATGTTGGTTGTTGTTGACGATGCTTGATGTTGGTGGTGAACGGAGGAGAATGAAGAGGAAAAACACAAGAGAAAGAGGAGGGAGAATGAGAAGAAGACCGAGAAAGATGAGGGAGGGCAAGAGAAGGAGAAGAAGACCAGAGAGAGAAGAGCAAAGAGAAGAAAGAAGAGAAACAGAGAGGAGAGGAGAGGAGAGGAGAGAGAAAGGGAAGAGAAGAAGGGAGAGGGGGAAATAAGGGAGTAATGACTGGAGCAAATGTAGGGTTTAGATTTTCTTTTTTTTATTTTTTAATAGTTCTGACGGAAATTTGATGGAAAATCCGTTGGAAATTTCCGACGGAAACCGTCGGAAATTTAGTATTCCGACGGAAAAAATCCATCGGAACTTTCCGATGGAATTGAAATCTGTTCAAAAATTACTTATTTTTTCCGACGGATTCCAACGGAATATTTGAATTCATCGGAAATTTTGGTTATTCCGACGGAATTTCGTGTCCGTCGGAAATCGACTGTTTTCTAGTAGTGGTATCCATTTATCTAAATCTCCTATTAGTTCACTCTTGTCATACACGGATGCCGATTGGGGTGGTTGTCCAGATACTTGTCGATCTACTTCTGGGTATCGTGTCTTTCTTGGGGACAACTTGGTTTCATGGTCATCGAAACGACAACCCACATTATCTAAGTCTAGTGCTGAAGCTAAGTATAGGGGTGTTGCAAATGTTGTCTCCGAATCTTGTTGGATTCGAATTTTGTTACTTGAGTTACTATGTCTTATTACAAAAGCAACTCTGGTCTATTGTGATAATGTCAGTGCCATATATCTTTCCGGAAATCATGTACAACATCAGCGCACAAAACACATTGAAATGGTTATTCATTTTGTTCGTGAAAAGGTTCAACTTAGGGAGGTTCGAGTACTTCATGTTCCGTCACGTTATCAAATAGCTGACATTTTTACAAAGGGTCTACCGCGCATTCTTTTTGATGATTTCAGAGACAGTCTCAGCGTTTGTAGACCTCCTGTTTTGACTGTGGGGGTATGTTAGACTGTTAATATTTTGTAAATATTTTTGAATTTTGAATATGTTAGATAATTATGGAGTATGTATAGTCAAATCCCCATAATTATAGCCTTCCAAGATTCTAGGATATTAGTTCCTAGTTTAGTGGCTAGAATCTTGGTATTATCTTGTATATACAGCATATTCACGCATCAAGCAAATCAAGAATTCGGACTCTTTCAGAAAGAGTGTAAGAGTATAGGAGTTTAGGGGTGGCGGTGTTGGTGGTGGTGGAGAGAGAGTTGAGGATGGAGGAGTACCAGTCTTTGGGGGAGGAGGAGGTGTTAGGCTTGTGGGTTTTCGACACATGGACAATGTAGGTGGATTTTGATAGTGTACAAGGTAAGAAGAGGGAGAAGAGAAGGAAGAAGAGGATAGAGGGATTAGCCATTTTTGTTTGCTATTTTTGGTAAGTGCATGTTGGTTTTTCTACTAATTAACAGACTGTGTCATGTGCATGGAACGTGCAAATGCGGAAGAAGGGTACAAGCAAGTTTAATTTGAATATTTGGGTTAGGTATTTTGGTTAGCCTATTTGGATTGGAAAACTATTATACTTTGATTAATATATGAACTAATAAAACACCGTGTAGCTCGAGGTCACGCACGAGGTCACTACGGTTGAGAAAATAACCTAAAACTATTATAGACTTAGTCTTTATTGCCACATATTGATAGTTTTCCTGATGTCCTGATGCATTACGAAATAGAGATAGTACTAATGTTTTGGAATGAAAATGGAGTAAATAAAAACCATTCAATGTTGTACGGAGTATATAGCCTACATGTATTGAGAGCTCATGTGATGAATAAACAAACTAACGGTAGGAAGAGCAATGCTATAATAGTACAATAAAGTGGTTATAATTTATAACTGAGTTATGTAGTGGTAACATACAATTTTTTTAGTGAGAACGATAAGTGTTTATATGTTTTCAACCAAACTAAACAACAATAGTGCTACAATAATGGCTATATCTTCAACAAAAAAGAATAGATGCGAAAATTTCACCGGAAAATCCTGCATTACCCTTCTCAACGCAGAATACGAAAATCATCGAGAGAATATTTGCTTCTTAAGCATGATTTATGAGCAATCAATGCAATTTAATGTATTGTTTTTTAGCAGCAAGAACCACAACAACTTGGTACACAATTGGGGCAAAGCTTTACCTTACAACAACAATTACTAGAGCACAACTTGAATAAGCAACAATTCTGAGGAAAACATGAACAACCTTTTATGCCACAACATTTAAGACGACAACAACTCTTCCTCGAGCAACAGCAACTTTTTCGTGGTTGCTGATGATGATGCTCCTTATCTGATCGACAGCATCCACTGAAACAGCAAATCCACGATGATTTAAAACACGATTTTCCCCTGGTCATATTTCAGACATTATTAATACTGTACTACAACCAGAACTATTCCTGTAGTGTTTCAGTAAGCTTGCATATATGCTGTAAATAGACCGAGATGTAAATGGCAGGAGACTGTGAAGAATACGGATGAACTTTAAAATAAAAACCAGTAGCTAAAGCCTAGGACGTAAATTGTAATATTTGAATCATCACATAAATGCCCTTTATTTCTTCCATCTTTCAGCTACTCAACTAAGAGAACCATTGATAGAGAAGGCTTTGTGTTTTCACTTTCAAATATTAAGCTTTAGGAATGAGAAGTTCAGGAAAAATCCAATCAGTTTAAAAAAGGATTACCCAAGTTCAATCACCATTTAAATATATTCAAACTTATCCAAAAAGTACTGATGATGATTACAATAAGCTCACATAAGCATTTTACAAGTGAAAAGAACAAGGCCTCAATAGTATGGCTTATGGTTAGAAGAAGGGGCTCTTACCAAGTACCAACATGCATGCGCAGTTGATTCTCCTAGAACAATCACGACAAGAGGGAAAAAAAAAGAAGGGAAGAAAAGTACCTAATTCTCCATGAACACGAACAGTCTGACTGACTAGACTTCTGCTGATTTCTGCAGATCGATATCACAGGAAATAGATTAATTCCATATCAATATACAATGGAATCACAAGGAACTAAAATGAGGTGTAGAATGAAGTCATGAACATACACAGTTATCAAGGGATCTGGTTTTGTTGCTACGAAGTCATTGATCCTGTCAGCGCAAATTACATAAATGAAATGAAAAGGGGCTGTGAGATTGATAATAGATGAAAATTGAAAAGAGGCAAAAGACCTAAACATATTTTTGGGATTAAAGGTACATAATTAGCTAAATCAGCCAGTCAACGAGTCCTACATACTCTTTGCAGCTTCTAGAAGTAGGTTGAACGTTGTCAAGTGACTTCAACTCTTCCTGCTCATCATGGGAACAACAGAAACGATGTTTAATATGTCGTTAACATATGGAGGTCAACGCACGAGTAGAGAAATAATTTGATGCCATTACTGTCATTTTAACCTCAGACTTAAAACTGAGGAAAGCTAGAAATTGCCATTATTGTGTATATAGAGGTACAACTCTTAATAACAGGTACAGGTAACAGAATCAAGAGCTACTCAACTCATCAAGTAATACATCCTCACATTCTTTAGGTAATCTATATATAAAACTTAGTTGTATCATTACTTCTATCTTGTAACATATCAGAAGCTGATTATATAGGAATTAAAAACAACAGAATTATTTGGTCATATATGATTTTTTGTCACAAGATCATTCAGAAAACTCATTCTGTAGATTGCCTTGAGCAGGCTCCTTCCCCTTTCGTAATCCTCTCCTCCCTTGCTTCTCAACCTTCCGTCCATAGGTGTCTATCATATCAACGATTTCCATGTGAACACCTGGATCATTGCTAGTGTAGGTAGCACCAAACATGATGGAGTTGTTGACAGCCTGGAAGTTGCTGTTCACATAAGTGTCCAAACTTTCAGGCTGATCATCACTAGGCAATTCCTCATGGTGGTCATGCTGCTGCTTATGATGGCGATCCAACAAATCACCCTTCATGGTAGCCCCTATGTTGGTCCCAGAAATTGTGATGATTCTAACTCCGCTTTCATCCTCATCCCCCATGTGAGGGCCAAGGGGCCCACTAGCTCCCGACTTGTGGATCTGATGAATATCATTGATGCGAGAGGTAAGTGCATTAACCATTTCTTTAGTCTCACGGTCTATCTGTCTGTACCTCTCCCCTTCGGTAGAAGATGGGTTTGGCTTCATTGCCTCGGAAGACATGGCATTTGGGTTTTATAAAATCGGAAAGGGAAACAATGTGTGAAAGCTTTTATCTATTGTGAATAATATTGGGTTAAGTTTTCGAATGAATAATTATCCAATTATATAGAAAAAGAAATGAGGTGGCTTATAGGTTCAGAGGAATAAAGAAAGGGAATGCCTTAAATGCCAATTCAAGTATATTTCTTTTTAGAAAAGTCTTGTTAAATGGGGAAAAGGATTGCTTGATTCTTGTATCATTAGGAACACAAGCTAACAATGCTATCCTGCTAGATACTTTTATGCCTCTGCCTTCACTAATAAGCTCTACATTCAGGATGGTTTTACTGAAACAAATTCAACCAGACGACTGTACATAACATTTCCACAACGTTCCCAAATTTCGCCAAAAATACAGGCCTCATTGAACTAATCCTGTAACTAGTGATTCAAACTAAGAGATGCAAAATATGCAACACTCTAATAAACGTTTCCCTAAGGACTCCCTAAAATGCCCTTATTTTCCTCTGGACCACCAAAGTATCCATGTCAAGAATACAAATTTTAGCATATCTCAGTAATAAATTTGGCAGCTCTCATCCTAAAACCAAGACAACACATTGATAATGACAGAAGCAAACTCCTTTCATCCTCAAAAGTACTCGTATAGAACACTCAACTGCACAAGCTTGAACACGAATACGAAATACAATACTGGATAAGTTGCTCGTAAAACAAAATGGGTCTTAAAGAAGTCTCTATTCCAGTATAGCCAACATTAGAACTCTCCATAGAATTCATCAAGCATTAGATTAAAAAACCAACTTGGCCATTTGTAACACTTAAGTTGTAAATGTTAGCTAGCTTAGTAGGTAAAGTCTTGAGGTTACGACATGAGGTAAAACAATACTTAAAACTCGGGCTCAAACCTCGTCTACATCCCTTAAGCACTACGCCAAGCTCCATGCATGTAACAAACAAACATTTTGTAATTTACAAACACTCGAACAACAAAAACATACACCACTTTCAATTCAAAACAAAATTTTAAAAAACAACAATTAATAAGAAGTATGAATCAAACATGATAAAAATACCTCGAGGAAACCAATTTCTCTCTCCAAAACCTGAAGTTTAGCTTGGTGGCGGCGCTTGGCGTACAAACTAGGAGGTGACTTTGGCATCGGCTGCTCCGCCATTTTTTCCTCTTTAAGAAATTTTTTTTTTTTAATTTTAATTGTTTTTGTTATATAAACTTTGCAAAATAAGCTCAACCATATTTTCAGCTGATACTAGTAGTAGAGTCTAAAGCTAGTACCTGCAAATTGTACAAATAAGGAAAACGACGTCGTAAATGGTGCATTCACAATGTGGCAGGAAGATAGTGGAGTTGAAGAGGAGAAACAGAGCAAAGGACTACAGTATAAACAGACCACAGTTAGCACGTGACTTTTTCAGAGGAGGGGTAATTTTAGGAGAGAGAATTTTTTTGATTTCCCAAAATGATCCTGGAATTTGAAGTGAATGAGGGAGAGAGAAGGGGGGTAAAATGGGAATTTGAAAAAAGACAAAGATAGCACGGCGGAGAAGACGGTGTCGTTTTATAGGTTTGAGATTTACGAGGGAAAGGGAGTGAGGTGTCAAGTAGTCATAAACGTGCGTTTACTCAGGTTTTATGACGTCATTCAATGGGAATCTAATCGTTTTCCTTGGATTTCCTCACAGCCGCTTTCTACACTTTTTTTTTTTACTTTTCTTGGGAGAGTAACATTTTTTTTGGGTAGAGCAACATAATTAAATTATCAATAAAGGTACAGATTGTTCAATAAAGGGTGTGCTTGTAAGTTATACACTTATACCTCAATGCGCGTTGGAGAATGTGACAGATGAAGAGAGTATGTTACATACTCCGTACAATATATAGTCAATATACAAGTAAACGCTTTATATGGTCGTAACAATGGTGGGATTTATGCATTGTTAATATTGATGATCAGATAGATAACCAGTGTCATGCCTTCAGTATGTATGAGTATGACTGTATGTGAGAATGTAACCATAACCTAACTGATTTCCGGTCAAAACTGGTTACAGGAATATGTGGCTAGTGGCAACTTACTCGGAACAGATTTAATACTTAAAAACTCTATGCAATGTGATGTGTTACCTATAGGTGCTATAGCTATAGCTAAACGACACTGGCTTAAAGGAGAGATACTTCGTAAAGAGACTACTCTGAATCGGCAGTGAAGGATCAGATGGCTGATGAATCAGAAGAATACCTTCAGATCTTAGTTTTTGCATCAAGAGAATGAACGATAATCTTTACAATTTCTTCCCCAACAACAAACAAAGCACTTTCTTCCTACCTTGGCTTACAGTATAGGAGCTTACTCAAACAGACAAAAAACTAAGGTGCACAGGTAAGCAGTATCATCTCTCTGTTATACTACATCAGCTTTAATGCCTACCTAGACGCGTTCTCCACTACCGCACTAATACCTCCAGCAACTCTAGTCGTCTGGTCATAGACTTGTAGTTCAATAGTGTGAGCAATTGAGGAACATAAATCTTGCGGGCCTTGCGGCCTAGGGGTTCTTGAATTTATCATGTATTAATACTATAGTCAAGGGCAATTACTCAAATTTAGCAACCAACAGTTACTTATCTGTTATGTTCAAGGCTTCAAGAATCAGACAGTAGCAAACTAGCAATTTATCAAACAAATACAAGTTATACAAAATAGGAATTGAGTCAATTGACACAGCAAACAATGGCCAAATTGAACATTATCTTGAAAAAATGCCTTCATAACCAATTAAATAAATAAATAAATAAAAATTCTTACGCTAACAAGAACACAAGAAATATTACAGAAAATAATGTGTTTTATTTGCCATATTGAATTCTGACTGATATTTGCAGAACATTCAAGTAATAATGACAAGTAGTGTTACAAACAGAACCAAATTCGCAAAAAAATTTCTCCATAATCAATCAAGACAAGGCTATCTTCCTAAAGTATGTATGAATACATGTGGACACTAGGTACAACAATGGGGTTGTCAATTTGTCTTTTACAAGCATAATTTGCTGCTATTCGGCTCAGAGTCCAGGAACGCAAGGAGAAAAAAAAAATCCAAAGAGTCCAGAAGCTCATACCTACTAGGTGGTGAATATGACAGAGCAGATCAGGCATATCATTGCTTTCTCTGATTTCCAGCAAGGCAGCAACAATTAAGATGTATTTTGATTCTTATTGTAAACCGCCTACACTCATGGCACTGACAACCCTAAATGAAAGGAAAATCAGGTACAGGGATATAAGACCTATACCCAACATTTTACTGGGTTGCATATCTTTCTTGAGTAAGATCACAATCGCCCAGATAAGCCCAACTAACAGAAAGCCAATTGTGTAGAACAAGCTACTGTCTTTGGGAACTATATATGAAGCAGGCCTAGCTGACCAGGCACCGTGCAGCAATGAGATCCCCAAACCGATCAGTGTGTTAAACATAGGACCAGCATAGCACCCAGACAAGGCAATCTGCACACCATCTCCACCATTCAATGCCAATGCAACATTTGAGACCAGATCTCCCATAGAGTTCCCCCATGCCAAAACAGTCAATCCAAGAATTGATGGGTTGATTCCCAAAATAATGCCTAGTGCCACCAAAACACCAACGAGTTCACTTGCAATCATGTAGAACCACACAATACTCATAAAGAAACCTCCGAGAACCCATGGTAATAAAAATCTCTGTGGTGGATGATCTGGTATGGTGTAACAGTATGAGAGAACTCCAAGCATGCAACTAGCTGCCAATCCAATAACATAGGCAAAATCTTTGCCTACAGAACCAGGAACATCAACAGTGCTCCATAAAAACACAATGAGAATAGGAGCCAATGTGGCACTGGCAACAGCATATGGCTTTGACCAACTTTTCTCCTCAACCATTGGAATTGTTAACCGTCTTGGAACAGATAAAGGAAGCTCCAAGAGTGAGAACAGCTTGGGGCAGGAAAAAGAAGAGTTCTCAGATTCCACACGTTCATCATTCCATCCCCAGGGAGGCCTTTCAATTTCTGATTTTAGAGACTGATGTGAGTAAATTGCAACATTGGAAGCCCACATCCACTGAGGTAAAGAAGGATGGAGACGGGGAGCATCATTATCGCTCTCAAAATCAAGTAGGGGGTTGTAAATAGCATCATCCTCTGAGCCTCCTTGAGCGTAGACACTTCCTTTTACAGGAAGCAATGGGGTGACAGCATCCAATTTCAGTCTGTGTGCTTCCTTTCTCAATAACTCATTTGCAGCAACAGCGAATGCATAGAGAACATATACCATTAAAAAACAAATGGCCGCCCCAACAGTAGTCCTCCCCACAAACAAAATTAACAAAAGCGACAGGATGGTCACCAGAAAGAAGCTAAGATCCCTGATAAAGCATCTCCGATCAATTTGAACCTGCTTATTAGCCACCAAGAGAGAAACAGTACCAACAACAACACAAGTCACAAAAACCGCCCCACCCAACACACTGTTCAAGCCAACCTCACCCGCACCAGTACCCACAAAAGCCGCTATGCTAGCAAATACATCGGGAGCTCCATTCCCAAGTGGAAGGAGAGTGACCCCCGCAACAGTAGGTGGCAATTTCAATATATTCGAGAGCTTTTCCAGTGAACAACAAAAGTAATCGGCTGCAGTATTACCTAGAAGGTAAAACAATGCCGCGAGCCAAACACCCAAAACTGCATAACCCAATAGCTTAAGTCTCTGGCAATCACAGTAAAAGAACTGCAAGTAATCGAAGAACCCACTAGTCAAGCACTCCGAATGCGCCTTTAAATACTCACAGGGAGAATCAAAACCCACATGATCCCTTAACCCAAGACATAACACAGCATTTTCTTCACTTAATTCATTATCTAGAACAACAGACCCATTACCAATATTCGTTGAATTAACCCTAATTTCAGCTGTGTTACGCCGGATGAATTCCATATGAACCGACCCATCGACAGAATTAAGATGAACAGGCCACCGATTACTAATCACAGAAGATTGCCTAAGTAAAGGGTTTCTAATGACATCTTCTCTATTGAAGAAAAAGAAAAATAGGATCACAGCACATAATCCATTGAAAATCCCACGAAATTGGGATCTTCTTCTACGATGAAAAATATCCAATCGTTCCATTTCTTAAGCTGCAACTAATTACATCGAACAAAATTGGAAGAATTCTAGGGTTTCAATTTGGGGAAAATTGAAACCCTAGTGTATTAAAATGTACTAAAATTAAGACAAAATGGATTGAAACAAAGTTCAATTCTATAAATTCTTGGCAATAATGAAAAACACACAGAAATTCACTTTGATTAAGCTGCCTTACCCAAAAATAACTTGTTCTGGTATTACACACTTAATTGCTTGAACAACGAATTTCTTGAAATAAATTCGTTTCTGGGAATCTCTGTCTTCCTATTTTGGGGGTGAAGTTAGCAAGAATTATTGGATAATTCGAAGAAGACAACCTCTGAAAATTCTTGGAAATTCTGGGTTTTTCACTATTTTGGTTGTTGCTTTGTTGTGAGAGAGAAGTTAACGTGGTAAACATGACGAGGAAATGATAGTCTGGACTCGGCTAAATGGTCAAGTTGGACTGTCTTTTGATTTTTGATGTCCATAATAAGCCCTAGAAGTAATCCATTTGCTTATTTGAAGCCCGTTGTCTAACTCATTTTTCATTTTTCATTTTTCATTTTCCATTTTTCAAAGTGAATCGTAATTTTGAAACGGCAAGCTACCTTAAATAGCAAAAAAAATGATATATGCGGTCTTTAAGGTTATTTATAAGAAGCTAAAAGATAATAATATTAATGAAATATATTCATTAATTACATTGATCTACTCGTGATTTTGTCGTGTATTCCTAAACTTATACCAAAACAAGAAAAATAATGCAATTTCACTATCATAAACCCTCTACAATACGGAGTAGGAATTATGGCAAGCATAACACCACAAAATGCAATTTCATTATCATAAAACCTAAGATCTCTTCTAAACTTCCAAAAGATGCTCAATCATTAAACCAAGTAACCAATTGATAAAACGATAATAAAATTGCATTACAAACTTAAAAATTGTTACTCTTCCGATTAAAAACCTTTCTTTCAACATGTTTCCTTTCATTTAATTTAACAACCCTTTTAATATCATCAATCTCCATTATTGCATCTTCCATAAAGTTCGGTTACTTTTTCAAAATCCAGATATTAAAAATAAAAAAATTGCAAAGGTTGTTAGGAAATAAACTAAATTTACCAGATACCAGCAAAATTTGTTTTGGAAAAAGATATAATGTATCTTTTATTTATTTCTATCTTTTATGCTTTTCTATTTAGATGAGGTTTGTAATTAAGAAACTAGATAGCTTTTAGGAATATAATCCATCTAGGTTTATTTATGTTTGGGAGCAAGTAAAATATCATAATTGATTTGAGTTTCTAGGTTAGCCTATATAAGAGGGTTTAGGCTTACTAGAAAATTATAATGGTTTTATTGAGGAAGGAAATCTAAATTTCCCCATAAACACTCTCTTTTGTTATCGTGTTTTGTTATTTATTTTATATTATGTTTGAGGGTGAGTTCCAAATCGTTTCATTGAAAACATTTGTTATAACATCTCACATTATAACCTTTATAAGAAAATAAATAAAAAAATTTACAACCGTTGTAATATCATCAACCTTTATTATTTCATCTACATAAAGTTACGTTACTTTATCAAAATCCAGATTTTAAAATTTAAAAAATTGCAAATAATTGCAAAGGATAATGCAAAATACAAAATTAATGTAGCTATGAAGGTGCATTGTCACAGTCTCATCCAAGAGTTCTAATATGATACGGCAGTCCCCACTTAAAGCTACCTATATATAACATCATATCTTCCCATCTCTGCGATCATATAAATTCCAATTCTAACCATCTCACTCATTCAACCTTTTATAGTTTCATACGACAAACAAAAAAAGAGAAATTAAAAGTATGAATTATTAATCTTTTGATTTTTTCCTTCATCCCCTTTATAGAATTTCTGAAAATGTGATTAATTTTTAATTGGGTTTTTTTTGCAGAATTGCAGGGATGAGTTTTGCAAAGAAAGAGTATGAATTTCTGAAGGAGATTGATATTAGCCCACGTAATATCGGCTGTTATGTCAGCGGAAATTGGAAAGCTAATGGTCCTGTTATCTCCACTATTAATCCTGCCAACAATCAGGTATAACCCAATTCTTTAATTTCTGTCATTTAATTTATTTTTGGTTAATTGATGTAGGTTAAATATCTGAAATTCTGATGAATTTGATATCTGGGTTTTTAATTTGAATTGGGTTTTCATTATCATGTTTTTTTTTTTACGGATGAGTCGTAAATTTATCATGATTTTCTGAGCTCAAAGTTTAGGTTTCTGACTTTTGTTTGATGTTATAAATTATACCCATTTCTTAAAGTTTTGGTTTTTCTTCATAAACCTGTTTATCTCAAAAATTAAATAGATAAAATTGCTGTTGTTGATCAATTGATGGGATGAGGGGCATTAGTGAAAGAAGTTTCGTTGAGCACTCTGCTGTATTTGCTTGTTTATTTTATCTGTTTATATATTTGTTGATCTTGGTTAATCTGTCCATTCAGAATAATAGGCTGTGTTTGACTTTGGTAGTCCAATCTTGTGAAATTTGATCGATATGTTCTATTACTATATTGTAGTGAAACTGTGAAAGTTACTGGAGTATAAACTATAAACTAGTTACTCTGTATGTGGTAAGATTAAACATTTCACTTGTTAATTAGTTACAAAATTGATAGATGGTCAAAATTAACGAACTTACGGTAATGAAGGTGTTATATTTTGTTTTCCGAAAAGCGGGAAGTCTGCATGATTTCATTTGTTGATTGATGGGAAGTGTTGAAAGAGATGAGCTATGTTGCACATACTCGGATTTGGGTGTTGTGTACGACATGGTGTCGGATCCTCCGACACTCCAGATTTTATAAAAAAACTATATATGGCCACTATGTATTTAGGTGTCATGTCGTGTCGAACTGTCGGAATCTGAAACGCGGCAGTAATATAGGAGATGAGAGTGTTTAATTGCTTGTTTTTTGGAATTTGCTTTGGTGTTGTTTCAGCCAATTGCTGAAGTTGTGGAGGGTTCTTTGGAGGATTATGAGGAAGGCCTGAAAGCTTGTGCAAAAGCGTCAAAATTGTGGATGCAGGTGGTTAATACAGTCCTTTTGTCTTACATTTGTTTTGGCTTCAGCAATATTTTTGTATTGGAATTTAGATATCATATTTGTTACACTATTTTGACTGGTTTTGATTGCTTTTGCTCTTGTCATAAGATGCCTGCCCCAAAAAGAGGTGAAATTGTTAGACAGATTGGTGATGCTTTGAGAGCTAAACTCCAGCAGCTCGGACGGTTGGTGTCACTTGAGATGGGAAAAATACTGCCTGAAGGGATAGGAGAAGTTCAGGTATGTTACTTTTAATGTAGTTTAGTTTAGTTTTGCTGTGGTGAAATTTATTCCGTAAATGACATAATTAAGTCAAGGCATTTTATAGGTGCTTAAATTGAGTCTATAGAAGTTTTGAGTGGCTTGGACCTCCATGGAGTGTAACTGCCCAGTTATTCAACACAATTTGTCTTAGGGTTATTGATTTATTCTGTTGGTTCTTGGTACTGCTGTTAAACAATTAGATAAGGTGAGGGATGTCTAGCGATGATTTCAAAGTATATAGTCTATAATAATAATACTTCTGGCCTTCTGTACAATATTGATCTATATGGAGTATGGACACTGCATTCTATTCGTTGTCTTGCTCGTGATCAAATTAATATTTGGAAGCCATATAGTTCTTCCGAATAACAAAGCCAAAATACACTCTCTCCCTTCACGTTTTGTTTTCCATGTTCGGAGCACTTTTGTGCTTTCTGCTTCTCACTTAAGTGTTACATTAGTATTATCATCATACTTGGGTATATTTTTCTAAACTACTGATTTAATGTCATGTGCAGGAGATTATTGATATGTGTGACTTTGCTGTGGGGTTAAGTCGACAACTAAATGGCTCAATTATTCCTTCAGAACGTGAGTAAAAAAAAATATTCTTGAAACTTTTTTGAATAAAAGATGTGTTTTGGTAATGCATGTAGTGGAAGTCGTGTAATCATCTTATTGAAAAAACAAGCCTACAGGCTCTATGTATTTTAAAGGCTCAATCTCCATCGTAATTGATCGTAATTTTTTTTTTTTCTCCTTTATTTGAAAAATGGAGGTTCTTACTTTTAATCTACAGTCAGCCATGTTTCCCCCTCCTAACACCAGTTACTTTCTATAACAGGTCCAAATCATGCAATGCTGGAGGTATGTTGAACATCAATAATAATCTATCTGGATAAAGTTATGAGACATCTTTTTTTTTTTCATCTTAAAATAACCTTTAAATGCACAGGTCTGGAATCCCCTTGGGATAGTGGGTGTAATTACAGCATTCAATTTTCCTAGTGCTGTTCTTGGTAAGTCTTCTTCTCTCTCTGGTGAATAAGAAGAAATCTATATTTGCTTTTCAATTGGGGTCAAAAAATCAAAATGTCTTGTCATTTCTTTCTTTTATGCTTAACTGTGTTTGCATCTTGTGTCATTTGATATTCTTGCATTGGTTGTATAGGTTGGAATGCTTGCCTTGCACTAGTTTGTGGCAATTGTGTTGTCTGGTAAGTATTATCTTTAACATTCTTCAATATATAAGATATAAATGCTGCTCTGGGCATGAATATGATTTTTTGGGAATAAATGAATGTGATTGTTGGAACCAAGAATTTGTCATGGTTGGTAGAGCTAACATGTGAGCTATAATGTTTATAATGCTTCATCGTCCTCTAGTGACCATATATAGTATGTCATTGTCAAAATTCAGCACCCTTTTCTGTATATTCTCACATGCATTGTGCTCAATGTGACATTTTAAACTTGATGATGATGGAATATTGAAAAAAGTACTCCTTGCTTATAAATAATTACTTCATTTTCAACCCCCACCCGCCCCAAAAAGGGAATTTTTTTTGGCTGTAAACGAGTAAATGTCAGGAAATTTCCTATACCAACATTTTTTCTTCCATTTTTTTTGATCTATTTTTCTTCTGTTGGTCTAGTAGAACACCTTTCCGATTAGTCTACACTGATTTGGAGGGCAAACGTCTGTCGATAGTGGGATGTTTACTTTAGGGAGGGGGAGGGGAGGGGGGGAGTGGAGAAGAATTGTATAATAGCCACTTTGAGCCTCGCAGGAGTTTAGTTGAATTCTCATGTGTATAATCCAATTTAATGCCTTAGATCAGATCTAATACTATGCTTTCCTCAAATCCTTTGTTTCAGGAAAGGTGCCCCTACAACTCCTTTGGTCACCATTGCAATAACCAAGATCGTAGCTAGTGTGTTCGAAAATAATAATTTGCCAGGAGCAATTTTCACCTCCCTTTGCGGTGGGGCTGAGGTTGGTGAAGCAATTTCAAAAGATACACGCATCCCGCTTGTTTCATTTACTGGAAGTTCTAAGGTAGGTTTTCTTGTATCACTATATTTAAGTTACTCCTTCCAT